CTGTGACAGAATAAAGGCTGAAAACGCTGTCGGAATGACTCCATTCTTAGCCAGTTTGTTGAGACGTCAGAGCCTCGCACGAGTTAGTGTGAAATTGTTTGGCTCCGTTAATCCCATGTTGCGTAATACCATTGCATTTAAAATATAACATCACTTATTCAATGGTTTCGAAAAATGTTTAACGGTGGCAAACTCGTCAAAACGGACGGGTGCTCATGACTCGGGGACTCTTCTGAGTTCATAGGTAACATAAAACACCAGCGATTCTCCTAAAGACATTTGGCCAGCCCACGTGGTTGAACACAAGTTATTTGAGGCTGGCATTGAAGTGCGAGAATATCGCCTCTCGTCTTCATACGTGGATAGTAGCATGCCACTTCGCTGGTCACATCGATGGGTTTGGCCTTGCGATGATGATAATAATTGTAACTGATTGGTGGAGCTTGAGGGCGCTGGCAATTCATCATTTATCGGCGTCCATTTTCTCGTACCAGGGACCCGGTCACTAATTTGCAACTAATGAGCATAGTATTGATCTTATATTGGCTCCAGTGATTCACGATAAGAAATTATTCACCTGCGCTTAATTTATGTCACATTATTACAAGGCCGGACGGGAAATCTAATAGCTTTATCTCGTCATCAAATCAACCCGGGATACACAGCCGAGATTAGGTACATGGCGCTGCGGTAACCTTTCAAATACACCAAACGGAATAATTGCCACGATGCCTTCCCCCCCCCCCCCCCCCACCTCCTATCATGATCATTCGGAATGCACGGCAAACGATTAACCGTGATCCTGTCTGGTGTGCACCTGTGTGTCTGCGTGTGTGTCTGCGTGTGTGTCTGCGTGTGTGTCTGCGTGTGTGTTCGTCTGTGCAGCAGCACTTTCAGGAGGTGCGGTACAAGGCGCTCGACCCCAAGGCGCACTCCAAGGGCGCTGCGCTGGAGAACACGGTCAACGGAGGACGCTCGGGTGACGACGAGTCGGGCGGAGTGCCAGGTGAGTGCTCACGGACCTGTTAATTATGCAATTATGCCTACTTACTGCTGATACATACTGTAACGTTCTTCTTAGATGACAGCACGTCTCAGAACACTACAAATTACAATACGCCACACATACATCCTATATCTGTCTGTATCTATAAACTACACCAGCATACTGCCTTAACTACATTGACACTGCAGGACAATGGAGATCTACATAAAACAACGCTGGATATCTACGACGTTCAATTCATTAGTGGAAACACCTTTTTGTTCAAAAGAGAGTGAAGAACAACCGATAGAATATCTAAATGAATGAGCTGAATAATGAATGAATCAGCAGAAACCGACGACGAATGGTCAATGGCTAATCGCGCTGTCAGCTTAACTTGAATGAATGAATGGGGACAAAATGAATGAATGGTCTCAGGGTGGATCCCGCCGACTACAGTACTAATCAGTTACACTTGAGTGCCGCCGTGAGCAGCTAATTAGCTCGAACAGAAAGGAGAAGGCTCTCGCTAGTAAGGAGTTGGCTGGGCTCAGGGCTGCTTTCTGGAGTCGAGGGGGTGCTGAAATCAGTTGACGTGAACTGAGAGGTCCCCACTCGACTAATGTTAGCCAAAGTCACTAGACTTTGCTGACTATAGTCGATGGGGTCACTTTATAAGTCAGTCGGCGGCCCCCTCCGGTCAGTCCAGCCCATATGGAGCTGCTCAGCTGCCCAGCTCCCTCTGAGAGGCACGCCCCCCTCCAGTCAGTCCAGTCCTGTGGCGCCTCTCAGTCCCCCCTCTCTCTCTGAGAGGCGCAGCCGGCCCTCCAGCGGCCCGTGGCGGGGCCGTCAGCGGGCAGTGGCCGGCGCCGCTGATGACCGCTGGTGGGGAGCGCCTCGTCAGCGTTCAGCCGGACACGGCTCTCCTCTCAGCTGGCGCTCCCCGCCGGCCGCCGGCACGACTCATTAGCTGAGCGGCACCGGCCGGCAGCCGGACAGCGGCGCACCCGGCATATTGCATTATGGCCGTATTGTTTGTTTATTTTGCGAAAATGGTGAGGGGAAGACATCCCAATAGACTTCCTCTGCTCTCCACATTTCTGGCCTAACGCTGTTCTCGGACATCGACATCGTTACTCTCTCCTCCTCCTCCTTCTCTCTCCCTCTCTCTCTCTCTCTCTCTCTCTCTCTCTCTCGCTCCCTCTCTCATCTTCGCTTTGAGTCTCCACCACGTTTTCTACTCACTATCATTGACTGCACGACCCTTTGCTCCCAACTCTCAGTTACCACTTCTCATCTTCCGTTTTACCCTGCATTATCCGTCCCGGCCAGTAAATACCTACATAACGAGTGCAGCGGCATGGCCGCAGCCCGAGACCCGTCAGTGCTAATAGTGCAGCCACCAGCCGGCTAGGCATTCACCAATCACACTAGCCACACCACCAGCCTCACACCGCCGCACTAATCGACGACTAATTACATCGCAAACTCGGCGTTACCGCGGCGCCGTGGATACGGCGTGGTTCGCACCCGTATCCAGTACCACCACATCCGTCATAACGTCACGAATCAGTCACAGTTCACGGCAGGAACACGTCAATACGGAGCGCGGGGGAAGCAACCAGCCCGGTGTGTGGCCAGCCATGCTTCAACTAGATCGCGTTTCAGGCCGACATTTATAGCGACAGTTTTCCAATAGTGAGCGGGTATTTACCGGACCAGCGAGGTAAAAGGTCTTTTGGATAGAGTAATGGCAGTCGATCAGGCGTGGAAATTATAGTAGACATGGTGATATAGAATGCGCAAAATGCATTTGCACGCTATGATTGGCCATAAGTGATGTCATTAAATAGTCTTATTGGCTGATCATAATTACATAGCGCAACTATGGAGTCTCACAATTTATTGAAGCCCACATGCCAGCATTAGGTATTTATAATTAGTAGATACCTAATGACGGTCTGAATCACCGCGCACAAGTGTCAAATTTGTCCCCGCATTACTGTCAAAATCATACCGCCAATGTCTACACTAGTGCCATCGGATCTGCAGTCTGCACCCGCACACACCCCAGAGCTCCCTAGTCAGTCACATGTTACCCGATTCGGTCCATAGATGGCGTTAGTTGTTGACGCCTGGATTGGTATGCTGTTCCGCATAGCACGACTCGCGGGACGGGAGCGCTGGCGCTGCTATGCATTGGGTGGAGTGGTGAAGCTCGCCGTTTAGCTCAGCAGTTAGGAGTAAGCTGATAAGAGCAAGCTGATTTGAGCCATCCGTCTATTTAAGTCATTGTGAAGGCATACAACATCCTGCATACCTCGCGTCTGAGCTAACATTATTACCATGGTTATCATGCGTTCCCTCCAAATCTCGCTTGTTCTCAAATATTTCAAGCTCCTTGACAATGTCATTCTTTTCACAGGGATTCTGCAAAACAAGAAGCTGGACACAATCATGGGCTGCAGCTCCTCAGACGTGGACAAGTACTCGCGGATCGTGTTCCCCGTGACGTTCATCTGCTTCAACCTCATGTACTGGATCATCTACCTGCACGTCAGCGACAAGGTGGCCGCCGATCTGGTGCCGTTCGTAAAGGAGGCGTGAAGAGACCGACGAGCCCGGTCCACAAGAACACAGTCAGAACTCAGCAGACAACGGTCTGAGTCGGTTCAGACAGCAGAGGAAACAGCCAAAATCGGTTCAGACCTCAGAGGAAGTGGCCAGAGCCGGTACAGACAGTTCACAGACCTCGGCCGCGTCAAACAGACTGCAAAGGGAGACGCTTGGCGGGGGCAAGACTGCAGAGCGAGTGGTGCAGCTATCTCTGGCCGACTGCGGACACGAGCCAGCCTGGCGCGCTGACTCCGGCTTCTCTTGGCATTTATTTCAGTGGTATTATCATGGTTCTGCGCTGGGCGGGTGATCTTTATATTACGGTAGCGTGCAGGTCGCGGCGAAGCGCACTGTCTCCGTTTGTATGTGTGTGTGCGATGTCGGCGCGGGCGGTAATGTGGTCAGTTCGCTGGTCGGGGAGGAAATACTGTCAGTTCGCTTTGTAAGGGAACGGATGGATCAATGGGTCAGTTCGTTGTTCGGCGGAGGGTGGTCGGTCAGATCGCTGGTAAGGGAAGTCAGGTCGTTGGTCGGGGGGGGGGGAAGCGGCAGGGTCAATTCGCTGGTCAGAGGAGGCGGTTCGGTCAGCTGGTTGGTCGGGGGCGGCAGCCGGACTGGCTCTTCTCAGAGCTGTCCGCTGGCGGTGGATGTAGACGACAGCAGCGCTGTAGGTGGGGTGCTCGACGTTTTATAGCTATTTTTATATCCTCCTGATTTGTGATGCGCCATATAAACTATCCCCGGCCCGGCCAGCTCGGCCGGCGGCGCTCCACCGGTCCGGGAGCCGGCCGCCCGCAATACATCTGGCCGTCCTCGGCGGCTCCAGCGCTCGGCCACATCTCCCGTCGTTCTCTGCTCTAGATGAGTCCATGTAATTGCTCAATGGGTGGCCGGTGGGTCGGCCGGATCGGCGGCGCTGCGCGGCTCCTTCACCATCAGCCAGAGCCAGCTCCGGCCGACCCCGGCGCGTCTGTCTGTCTGCCGGTCTGCCGGCGCGCGGTGTGTATGCGTGTGTGCGCGGCTCCGCTGCGGCCACGGTCGCAGAACGCTCTCCCGTCTCCCTGGCGTTGGTCACGTGACTCAGTGGTCTGCACACGTGACCCAATCACGTGTCCGGGGCTCGAGGCCAATCAGCGTGTCGTCGGACAGGAAATGTGCTGGCCGCGCGGCCGGCGGCTACCACTGCTCAAGCGGCCCGGCCCGGCCCGACGCGCCCCTCCGGCCCGGCAATGTCTCTCCGCCTAGTCGCGCAGCCCGCCAGCAGCCGGCCCGGCCCGTTCTGTTCACTAAGTATTCCGGTCGGCCGCCGGACCGTAGTTGGTTGACATCAATACATGCTGTTGTTGATATTCGGTGATCAGATTTATCAATACATATTTAAAATATGCAGACAGCGTAGTCGCAGTGTTCCGGTGTATTGTGTTACAAGGTAAAGGAGAGTTAACATCGGTTAGAAAATATAGAGTACAAACATGGATGGCGCACTGTGTGAGCTATTCGTTGCAGTTCACCCGAGGAAACGGCATGCAATGACCTATGAAAGGCACTCTCTAACAACAGTAACAAGTGTGAAGACCTATGGTATCGGGCTGCGCACTGGAATGAATGCATATCGGTCCACGCAAACCAACAACAATGACATGAATATGGCAGTCATGACACGAGGCACAATAGACTAGATCCATTAGATAACAGTTACTCATGCAGTTACTCATGTACGAACATCGTTCTGTAAATGAATATCAAAAGCACTCGATGACGCGTCACTGAAACAAACGTTTCTCATCCTGCTGAAATATCACAAGGCACAATCACTCGAGTATCAGGACTTCACAGCATTGGCCACGGGTTTTAGCCTGACAAACCCAGCCATCACCAGGACCCCAGTCTATCACAGCGAAATACCCAGCAAACACAGCAAGCCACCAGTCAGCAACGAGATCCCGGACCCGCGTTGGCCTTCGAACAGCGTCACTCTCAGATAGTCACGCGAGCGACATCAACCAGCCACTATGACGTAACGAAACCGAGGCAATCACGCTGACGACATTCATCCTCTAACTGCGCCCGATAAGGCGTCATAAGAACATGCTGACTTCATGTTGAGACCAAGCCACCCAGCTCGCGGAAAGCGTCCTCAAACCGAGCCAGTCAGGCCGCTCGCGGCAGGAATCCTCAAACCGAGCCAACTCGAGTCCTTAAACCGAGCCAGTCAGCTCGCGACAGGTGTCCTCAAACCGAGCCAGTCAGGCTGCTCGCGGCAGGTGTCCTCAAACCGAGCCAGTCAGCTCGCGGCAGGCGTCTTCAAACCGAGTCTTGTGTTCGGGCCGGACAAACTGCGCGAATCCTGCATCCGAGGGGACATGGAGTAATTTATCCATCCGGATAAGAGAGTCGGTCTAAAATGATAAAAATAAACTACTCCAAGCGTTTGCATTACGGTATCGTGGGCGATGACTGATAAGCATATGCTATATCGCAGGACAAAAACTAAAGGTATACCCTTACTCTGAAATGCCACGTTGCATATTTTTACTTAACCAGTAACCACCCAAGGTCAAGTACAACTTACAAACAGCAAGTACATACAACAGAACTCACCTCTGAAGAGCTGCTGCAGCTGCTGGTCGCCGGTGCCCACCAGCACTCCGGCCAGACTCGACACCAACTCTGGGAAGTCGCGCGTGGCCGTGTAGCCCTTGATCGCCGCCGCAAACAGCTTGTAGTCGGCGGCCGACAGCAGCCTCTTGGCCTGCCCGGCGACAGGGGCGGGGACGGGTCAGAGCTCCGCGACCGTCAATGCGGCGGCCTACCGCATCGCAACAGGACACCGGACAAACGTGGGTCGGCGGGCCCCAGGCAGGCATACGGTCACAGAATGAAAGGAGTGCGGCAGAGCAAAACACCGGGAGCGAGCGCAGTCATTCACCGACCCCCGGCCTCTCTTTTACCGCACACAGCGCGGAAAATGTCCCCACACAGCCGTCAAACGCTGTGCGAGTGAGAGCTTTTAAAGCAGCTTCAGCAGCTCAAAAGGGGGGACTTTCCCAGGAATCCCGCTGGTGGCACAGCAACTTACCCCAATGATATAGTCGGCGATCTTGCTCTTCTTTTTGGCGTCCTTCTCGGGAGCTGCAGCTGTCGCTTTCTCGGTAGCTGCTGCAGCCGCTCCCGTTCCGTCGGGTGTAGGGACGGCCGCAGCCGTGTTGCCCGCGCCGGTCCCTGTCCGTTCGTCGGCCCTGGCTGTCTTAGTCGGCGGCGAACAGTCGGTGGCCAGCACAGCAGTGCTATCAGGCACCCGTCTGCCGCCCAGAACTAACGCGGCCGGGTTGTGCGACAGCTTGAACTTTCGTCCTCGGCCAGCGGCGGGGGCGGAGGCTGCATCAGTAGCGAGAGTAGTGACGGGCGCAGACTGACAGGTCCGCTCTGCCTTGACAGTCCCGGGAGCGCCGGCCGCCGCCCCTGCTGCCCCACTCCACTTGTTCATTTGATCCAACAGTCCCCCGCCGCTGCCGGCCGTACCAGGCTCGGTCCTGCTGCCACTGCCGGTCCGGCCGTACATCTGCACCAGCGAGGCGGGGTTCGCGGACCCATGCTCCGGCACACCACCGCTGCCGTTGCTGTCTGATCGAGCTGCTGACACGCGGGACGGGGCGAACGCGAAGGTGGCGTGGGTGGCCGGTCCGGCAGATCGGTCACTGGCTGCCGCGGCCGGCTGGCTGGAGCATGGGTACTGAAACAGTGCCGGGCGGTGGAGTGAATCAGGTGTCCGATAGGGGCACGGAACATGCCAATGTAGAAATGGAATAATGGAGTCATTCTCTTATGCTGGACCACCGTGTAAAACCTACCGTTATTACGAGCGAGCGAGCGCAGCGAGCGAAGCGAAGTCTTTTCAATATAACGGAAAAATCTCAGTATGAGCGGCCCGGCCCGGCCCGGCCCGGCCCGGCCCGGCCCGGCCCGGCCCGGCCCGGCCCGGCCTGTAACGCTTTTGAGAGGCTTATATCTCAGCAACCGCTGGACCGAATGGCCTGCGGTCTTTTTTGCTGGATAGCCCCATCCCTTCTACCCCGTAATTGACTACTTTTGATACATCTCAGTGACCGCCGTGGCACGTGCCACGTGAAAAGTCAAGGGTGTTCAAGCAGTTTTGCAAAAGTAATGATTTTTAGAGGCCTATATCTCAGCAGCGGCTTGAGCGATTGTCTTGCTGTCATTTGTATAGGGTAGCTGCATCCCTTCTACCAAAGGTCGGATACTCTTCATCTATGTGAGTGACCCCCACTGCACGTGCAAAATACAACAATAAGAGGTGCCAAATTTGTTCCCATTTCAGTAACTCGGTAATTACTGGGGCGATTTCGCTGAAACTTGGCATACAGGTAGGCACCCACCAGGCAATGCATTCCCATGTGTTGCGGTTAGGGTGCTACTGCACGTGCGCACGTGCAGGGGGCGTTTCCAGATCTCGATAACGGCTGGGCCGATTGCGCTCAAATTTGGTACACGGTTGGGGACCGGTTAGAAGGGTGCCGTGCAAAAGTCATTTCGGACCCCGTTTGCACGTGCGCACGTGCAGAATGCCGCTTCCAGATCTCAGGAACGGCTGGGCCGATTGCGTTCAAATTTGGCACACCGCTAGCGACCGGTTAGAAAGGTGCTTTGCACAAGCCCGTTGGAAGTACCCTCTCGCCCTTCCGCACGTGCACGGTGCAGGGCTCACTATCTCGCTCGCTCGTTCTTCGCCCAAAAGGCGTTTTACTGGTACTATATAGCCGAAGAATGTCGGCATTTTTAACACCGTAAGGCAAAAATGCTAAGCGGTGACGTGCTAGAAAAGTGAATATGTGAACCACCATAGAAACGTAAGATAGGCAATCATAATAGTTATTTATTATTCAGCAAGCAAGACAACCACCCTCTTCCTACAGAAGTTACGCCAGTAAAGTATTCCGCATGACAAAGCGCAACGAGTTTCCCGCGTGAATACGAATCCCACACCATGAATACCAGTCTTCCCATGCCAATTTTCAGCCAGCACTGCAACTCTGGCTCTCCGCGACATACCTTCTCCTGGCAGGATTTGAAGAACTGGGTGAGCTCTCGCACCACGGTGCCAAAGTTGGCGTGCACGCGCAGGTAGGGCCGAACCCAGGCCGACAGCTGCCCCGAGAACCCTGCATCTCCGAAGCGCGAGTCACACAGGATGACGGCTCCGTAGTCCCGTCGGTGACGGATGACGCGTCCGACCGCCTGGTTGACGGCGCGTGATGCCTCCAGACGGTACCAGTCCTGACCGGAGAGGCCCTGCGTGCCGCCGGCGCCACTCGGAGTCCGGCGGACCTCGTCCAGGTACTGCCGCTTCAGCACCACCCGCGGGTCCTTCAGCGGCGGGTACGGCAGGCCAGTGATGATGACGGCGCGGCCGTTCCTAGTGGAGCGAGGAGGGGGGGGGGGGGGTTGATCGTCACAGCCAATCGTCTCCCGAGGAGTGTTGGGGACTGGTGATCAGTACAGCGTCCTATTTGGGAATAAAAGGGGCTGGTGATAGCAGTGCGCCCGCTACTGATTGGGTAAAAGAAACTAGAAAAGCTGACTAGCTGATAACACGTTCTTCCCGAAAAGAATGGGACCGAGAAAGGAGGAAACGGAAGGACATTACCTGACTAAGGAAGGACATTACCTGACTAGTACTGGAATGGAAACTGGAGGAAATCATAATGGGGAAGAAAAATAGGACATGGCAGAGAAAGAATATGAAAAAAAGGGCGACACAGCAACAACGTATCACTACGTTCCTGATTTGACCATCACCTCACCTATCGGAGAAGTCGAGTCCCTCGGAGACCTTGCCTCGACACACGGCCATGAAGCAGGCGCCGCGAGTGCCCTCGGTGGGGCTGATGATCCGGCTGTAGTAGTCGTTCATGTTCTGCGCAAACACCTCCTTCCCACCCGTCTCCACAAACACAGACTGTAACATATACAGCAGTGGTCACCACGTGGAATGCAATTCAAACAAAGCTGGTTCGGAAACGCACCCTTCAACTACGAGCACTTGGCGATTCGTTTGGGAAGTCGACTGCTTAATATGCCGTCACCTATGGATATAGTTTAGACTCTACACTTTTTCGAGTTCAAGGAACGAAGGGGTATCGACGAGAATTTAACAGGATAAACTAAAAGCAGTAGGTATCCAGGAACGGAAACGACACCGCAAATGAAGCACCTCAGCACATACCTTGTTGGCGGCGATGCGTCCCCAGACTCCGTTCGTCTGCCACGCCTCATGGCACGCGCGCAGCATCGAGTAGGACGGAAAGAAGACGAGCAGTCCGTCGGGCACCAGACGGGCCACGTTGGCCACCGTCTGCCCCAGTGAGCTGAGGTAGCGCGCGCTGGTGCGGTTCTGGTAGCTGGAGCTGAGGGGTGTGCCGTCCGGGCCGCGGCTGATACAGCCTACCCACACCTGGTCCGACTGAATGATGTGCGGGTTCTCTAGGCTGATGGGGAACGGCACCTGGCGGAGGGAAGGGGCAGGGAGTTTAACACAAACTGAGAGGGGAAGGGGGTTATAAAAGTCGAACACTCCGAAACAAAACCAAAGAGTCTACACCCCTGAGACTGGAAGAGAACGGCCACTGACTACGGAGATCATGACCAGATCACCAACACACACATAATTCAAAAAGAGCGTTTAACAAGCCCTGAGATGAAAACACAGGCAGCAGGGGGAGGACCCGTTACGAGCAAAATGCAGACAGCGCCACCACAGTGGGACTGGAGTCCCACACGCACCTGCAGTTCGGAGGTGAAGGAGCTGAGTGGCGCCAGTGTGCCGCTGGTCAGCAGGACACACTTGACTCCCTGCTCCATCAGATCGGCCATCCTGAGCATAACGGGAGAGAGGGAGACGGGGTAAAACAACGATCAGGGTAGCTTTACACATCTGACTGTGAAATCACTTCTCATAAAACATGCAGTTCGAAGCTGCGATTGATTATGAACAAATTACTTTATTCCATAGCAGACATAAGTGTTGACAATTGCAACATACTGTGCACGCCCTCAATGTCCACCAATATTTGGAAATATTTGAAACAGATCATCTCCACTGAAGCAACAGTTTTCACTTTCCACGGCACTCACCCGAACCCGGGGCTGAAGCACCAGTAGGAGAGCACGCGGCAGTCGGCGGTCGACTGCGCCTTTTGCCATGGGTCGTTTCTCGGCCGCTTGCCGGCCTTCTGCTGCTCCAGGCCCACGTGTACCTGGTGGGCGGGTGAGGCAGCGTCGAAGGTGAGATCGCAGTCAGCAACAGTGCGCAAAAACGGTTGAGTCTCCGCACAAGCAGAGAGTGTAACGAGGTGGGTAACAGCGAATTACTCTACCATCAAATAAATCGTTAATTTATATCGATTATAAGCGCTTGCCTGCCTCATATCGATCGTAGGCACTGTTATCGCTACCCAAGACATTTTCCGAACAGAACTGAAGACTGTCCCAATGATATCCTCCTAAGTATAACAAGTAATTTTTTTTCTGATACCAAAATGGAGCCTATCTCGCGATCCGTCATATTTCTCACCTTGTAGCACTTTTTGACTCGCTCCATGTGCTTCAGGTCGAATGTGTCGCGGTTGAAGACCACCTTGATGAGGTCGGCGAACTTCTGCAGCCCGTTGCCGCGCCGGGAGAAAACCGAAGTCGCCGAGTTGGTGAGGAACGAGATCACCTTCTCCAATTCCTCGACAATCACCGCTCGCCGGCCGTGAGTGATCTGCGCCCGCTCCAACAGCTCGAACATGTAGCTGCCCGGGAAGTGGGCGCCGTCGGCAGCGTTAGGCAGCGGGATGGCGTCGATGGCACGCTCCAGTTCCAGCAGCATCGTCTTCATGAGCGCCAGGTTCTCGGCGCTGAGCTCGGCGGCGGCGGCGGCCGAGGTAAACTCTGGATCGGCGCCCGCCTCCGGAGCCACCAGCTGAGTCAGCACGTGTGTCAGCTCGTCCACACATAACGCGATGTCGGTGGATCGCAGCTGGAGCGACGCAGACTCCTCGCACATCTTCTCGATGTTGTGCGCCTCGTCGAAAATCACCACGCTGTTTTGGAGTTCCACGCCGTTGGCTTTGCGCGTCTTGGGGTCGAGGAGGTAGTTGTAGGGCAGGAAGATCACATCAGCCGCCTCTCGTAGTGACCGCGCCATGTAGTACGGACAAAAGTTGAGCTTGTTGCCCAGCGTGACCAGGTCCTCGATATCCGTGACGGGAGCCTCTGTCAGGTGTTTGTCTGTGCGGCGGGGCTCCACCTGCCAAAGACGGAGGGGCAGTGAGAGTTCTGTGCGGGGATATGCCAGCCGAGAGAAACATGGAAAAGTTGCGGGGAACATAACTGACTGAGAGGGAAGACATTTATACACCAACTTTTTTAGAAAGAAAAATGAATGAATGAGAGTCCCTATCATCTGTAAGTTATTTACCACCATATCAGACTAGCTGTTCCCAGTCCCAGCCAGAATACGGCTTTCTCATAAAACTCACCTGATTATAGTAGTGGCAGGTGCGCGACTTGACCTTGGCCTGGCACATGTGCACCTTGACGCTGTTGTTGGTCTCCTTGCTGACCTCGGGGTGGATGCACAACTGGAACGTAACACACCGACATGATTATAAGACGATTCGCACATCGAATGAACTTCACCGACTGCGCAGTTCATACGACGACGATAAGGCAAAAAAATGATCAATAAATCCACAGACGGGAATTTGATATTTCTGTTGGTTTAACTGATCTCTAGTCCACTAAAATTACGAAGGTGCCGAGCCCAGCAACCTCTAGACTCACCGTTATCCTTCAATCGTTAAAGCCCTTGTATCTCTGATCTAGTTCCCAGTCGTTTTCAGGTCGCTGTATGCCTCACCTGGTCCCGGGAGCCAATCACCACGGCCCGCACGTATCGGTACGAGGTCCGTTTCAGTTCCTGCACCACCTGAGACAGCTGAGAGTGTGTCCGAGACGCGAAGATGATCTTGGGCGCACCTGGACAGCACATCAGGGCACGGTGAGTCAAACAACTGGGAAGACGGAGGTTTGAAACATGATCTTACGCGGCCTAAGGTAGACAAAGGCGAGAAAAAGATACGAGAGCTGTCGAATTCAACGCTTCCGTCAAAACTAATTAATGCAATAGCAATATAAGCGCTGCATCCGATTCCAGTACCAGATTTACCACCTTCCCTATTTGTGCCAACACACAAAAACGGGAGTTCAAGACGCATAATGACTCAAAATCGACGAGCAGATGACCAAGGATTAGTTATATTTATCGTTAGCGTTGCCGATGATAGAGGGCGCACGGAACCGACGTGTGCTGGAGGGCGCTACCAGAGGCAGACCCATGAACTGGGGTGTAGAGATGAGTTCCTAGAGCACTCTTTTGAGGGCGCTCCCTCATCAGATGGAGGTTGTCTCTGCACCCACCTATGATGGAGGGCGTGGCCGAGTTTCCCCAGCCTGATCCCGCCGCCTGGTCGAGCTGGGCGCTGAGTGCTGAGTAGAACTCCGGGTTCAGTTCGGCCATGCCGCGGACGGTGGCCGCCTGCTGGGCTCGCACCGACTCGGCCCAGGCCAGCGTCGAGCAGAGCAGACAGAGCGTCTTACCGGTTCCCGTCGGCGACTCCAGCACTCCGTTCGCGCCCTGGAATGACAGAACGGAGTACTGGTGAGACCAGTAACAAGCGGGACTGACAATTAGCTTCCGATCCGTGATCACCGCATTGTCCGGCCATGTTGTCGCCTCCTCGTTCTCTGATGGCCAGGCTGTGCCACTCGTGTCTCCATGAGTCGTTCACTGACGCGGACCGCCAGGGCCGGCACATATTGCCGGGCGCCGAATTCGCCGAGACATTTTAATAAAAAACAGACTTCGGAGCCGTAATACAACAGAGCTGGAGCTCGTTTTAAGTGTAACTATATGGTTCGGCAATTCACTGCTGGATGCTGGGCATTCAGGCAATATTCAATACCACAAAACATTCAACCATCAGTTTGGCCTTTTGGACAGCCTGTGCAGGTGCTGAAACGTTGGACAGCTGATTTGGAGGGAGCATTTACCTTGGCTGAGTCAATCTAGCACTGCCAAGTTTGTTGTAATCCACCGCTGAATTCCTAACTTCTGACCAGACCAGAGTGGTGCAGCTGGGGCCAGGGAGGTAGGCTGGCACTGTCTGTTTCACACCTCTGTATTACATGTTGCCTATAGGTGTGACTTATGTGTCTCCTGTGTCAGTCTGCTCATTGGCTGGCCCTGCCAGACCACAGGAGAAGACCACACTGACCACACCAAGAAGAGATGAAGAGCCAGCTGGTGACTACAAGCTCAGCAAGATAACATCCCCAGCCAAGTGATCGGTGCAATATCATCTCCATATTACATCCCACTTCTGATTTGAGCACAGGCTGTTGTAAAAAATTGAGTCTTGCTCTTGTGGTCATCATCAAGAACCTTAGAAGCTGTCAGACACTTACTATACCAAGGCCCAAGGGAGGGGTGAATTGGGCTCTAATCCTAAAACAGAGGAGAATACAGCATTGATTTTAATATCATAGAAGAACAGCAAGTGACCACAGATCAAGCTCATATATGAGATATTGCAAAATGATGAAAAATAAGCAAAACATTCCTGTCTTCAAGCAAATGCATCATACACAAATATATCAAAGTACTCCAGCATGGTAGTAGCCCTGTTTTATAAATGGCACCTATTAATGTCTGTTATTTACCATAGGTACATGCTATTTAAATCACTACATAATTACAAACAACATAATCATTTTATCTTACCTGTTGCAAGCATGTTATCACTTTCTCCATGTAGACCTTCTGAATTTCATATGGTTCAAATGGAAACCTCACTGGCACTCCATTTATGCTTATTTCTGTGTCTGTCATCTTTCAATTACTCTTGTTGCCTGCAAAAATTATTCATTGTTAGTTCCTTTCTAACATTTAATGACACATTTGAGACTATAAACAGTCTTGCTTTGTCTATAATATCAATTCTATTTTGATTTGGTATCTTATCAGCATGACAACTTCTTGCTTAAGATCATTGCAACTGCCAAAGCTAGAAATGAAAAGGAAAATATCAATATTAAAATGAAAAGATGAGAATTAAGACTTGTCACCTGAATCACCTGAATCTAATAATAATGCAAAATAACATACATGAGTGGATAAAATCCAATAAAAGCCTCCTCAGCCAGGGATTGGGATGGGATCACTGGCAGATCCAGAAAGGCAGTCTCAATCTCAGTCTTGGATGCTGCAGGGGTAAACTCCCAGAAAAGTTTCACCAAATTCCAGAAACTAAAAATTCCTAATTCTGGCTTTGGCTTGCTCACACTGCTGTGTAATGCAAAATTTTCCTAATGAAAGTTGTTTTGTCTAGTTTTATTGGAAAAAATGCAAACTTTTGTTGATTTTGATGTAACAGGGGGGCATTTGCCCCCAAACCCCCCTCCCTCCTCATCCTGGAGCCACCAGTGGATCGGGATGGGATCGCATCGCATTATGATCATATCCACAGTGTATATAAATACACTGACACTGTGAATACACAATACACTGTCAAATGGAAGGATTTGATCACATCCTTAACCTATCAGTTATCCATCACTGAATGACACCAAGAATGACACCAGCATTCACATCCACATCCCCAGTACTCTATATACCGTGCACATCCCAGTATCTTTTTGGAGTCTATAAGAAAATCAGCATTTTATCCTGATCCCTGCCCATACTCCTCAAACCCATCCCTGACCTATTTAACTTTGACTTACAAAAAATAAAGGGCCTTTCAAAAATGACCCAAAATTGGTTAAAAATATGTACCTAACCACTTTTGCATGGGCTATATTCTATTTTGATTTGGCGCTATTTATGACAGATCCATAGATCTCGAGGTGGAGGGAGAATAAAAGCCCGCTGACAACTTCAATTTTATGTTTCGTTTCCTAAGATATGACATAACATGTCCCCAAAAAATGTTTGTTTCTAAAAAAAAATATTTGAACAATCAGTTTCAAGAAGTTAAACAGATTTTGCTCATTTCCTCGGAAGCAAATAAAAGTAAATTGTAATATAGCTCACTTTTTTGCAGAATTCACGAGAAACAGCTGTACAAAATTTAAGGCAAAGCACCAGAAACTCGCGGCGTAAGGGGTATGCCTTTTTCTGAGGCAAATGCGTAGGAGTCTGTTCAATGAGAGTAATGTTTCATTGTGAGGATTTTTTGCCAATTTTTTGCTGTGGATTTTTGGCGGTGGAACCAGATCATTTCTTTGTTATTCGGAAACAAAATTAAATTCGATCTTATTCAGCAATGATTCGGTTTCATTTTCAACAAATGAATTGCATGCATCTAGTTTTTACAACGGTCGTCAAGTTAGATGTAAGTGAATCCTAATCTATAATCTAAGATTCAGAATCAGGTGAGCCCCTACGATTTGGACCAAGCTTGGTCAGTGGATAGTACGTAACGTCCTGATTACGATGCACCCAAAATCTAAGCTCGGCCCGCCATATTTACGAAGTTACGGATGTTTGAATTTCAAGGTCATTCGGGAGAGCCCCTGCGATTTCCGTCAAAATTTGTGTACGGATACTCTAGATGCTCCTCATTACGAATATCACAAAATTTAAGGTCGGCCCGCCATATTTACGAAGTTACGGAGGTTTGAATTTCAAGGTCATTTGGGTGAGCCCCTGCGATTTCCATCAATATTGGTATACGGACATATTACATCCTCCTCGTTACAAATATCATGAAAGTTAAGCTCGGCCCGCCATATTTTTCAAGTTATTGAGTCACAAAGTTACGGAATTTCAAGGTCATTCGGAGAGCCCCTCCGATTTTCGTCAAAATTCGTATGCGGACACATTACATGCTCCTCATTACGAATATCGTAAAAGCTAAGCTCGGCCCGCACTATTTCAAAAGTTACTGACGTTTGAAACTCACTGAAATTCAAACATCTCTAACTTTTGAAATAGTGCGGGCCGAGCTTAGCTTTTACGATATTCGTAATGAGGAGCATGTAATGTGTCTGCATACAAATTTTGACGAAAATCGCAGGGGCTCTCCGAATGACCTTAAAATTCCGTAACTTTGTGACTCCGTAACTTGAAAAATATGGCGGGCCGAGCTTAACTTTTGTGATATTTGTAATGAGGAGGATGTAATATGTCCGTATACCAATTTTGACGGAAATCGCGGGGCTCACCCAAATGACCTTGAAATTCAAACCTCCGTAACTTCGTAAATCTGGCGGGCCGAGCTTAAATTTTGTGATATTCGTAATGAGGAGCATCTAGAGTGTCCGTACACAAATTTTGACGGAAATCGCAGGGGCTCTCCCGAATGACCTTGAAATTCAAACATCCGTAACTTCGTAAATATGGCGGGCCGAGCTTAGATTTTGGGTGCATCGTAATCAGAGCCCTGTTCGGGCAGCGCATCCTACTGCAAAATTTTGCACCACGCATGCGCATAGGGGTCTCTCGGGTGCCAGGCTCCGCCCTTCGGCGTATGACGTCACATGTGTGACGTCGGCACGCGCAAAATCTTTCAGTTTTGCGCAACAAGAAAATAGGAGCTGCAGGAGGCGAAAGTGGCGCGAATTAAAGTTTACCGTCCTATATTTCTTATTGTAAGCGGTTTGAATGCTGTTTTTTGGGTATCATTATCACTTTTTTCAGTGGCACATTGCTATTAACCACATTTGAACGCATTTTATTCAGTTTTTGAACGAAAACCACCAGTCCATCCGCGCCACGGTTCGTCACGCGTCGAATAATGGCTGCCGCGGCCCTCGGCTCTGGCGGCCCGGCGGAGAGTGGGCGGAGCCAGTGGCTGACGTCATTCCAAGTGTGCCGTCACACGCTGCAAAATATTTTGCGCGGACCCGAACAGGGCTCAGGACGTTACGTACTATCCACTGACCAAGTTTGCTCCAAATCGTAGGGGCTCACCTGATTCCGAATCTTAGATTATAGATTAGGATTCACTTACATCTAACTTGACGACCGTGTTTTTACATGTGATATTCTGACCGTTCGCAGTTGTTGACAAAAAAATTGAACACTACGGTTTGTCTTGGATTTTGTAAATCTGTAACCTGTCATTAGTTTTTTTTTTGGTCAATTTGGCACTGTGCTGTTTGTTGTGGCGTTTGACTGGTACGTTTTTTGTATTTAATGTATTTTGTTACCTATTTGTCCCATATTTATGATATGGATCACTAAGGGGAGGTGACTGCCTACTCATTGGATGTTTGTACCGCAGCCCATCCGGCTCCGCTGAAGACAGTATCAACCAGATGAACCAACTCATCCGTCAAGCATGTTCCGAGACCTTCTCACACATAGTGTTCGTGGGTGACTTCAATCTCCCCCAGATTGACTGGTCGACACAAAGCTCTCCGGCTCCTGCAGGTCACAGTTGCCATTCATTTATTGACACCATCCAGGACTGCTTCCTCTTTCAACATGTCCTCCACCCAACTCGTTATCGACATGGTGAAGCTCCCAGCATCCTGGACCTGATCTTCTCCAAAGAAGAAGGCATGGTGAAGGGGCTGGAATATCTTCCGGGACTTGGAAGTAGCGACCATGTGATGCTGCAGTTTACGGTCACCTGCTCCCCATTAGCAGGTGCTTACACCAGGATTTGCTCTGACCGCATTAACTTCAACTGGCTATCTAGCGTTCTTCAAGATGTTGATTGGTCTCCGATGGCTGCCATGGATCTGGACGGCGCCTATGCATTCTTCAAAACACAGCTTGTGAATGCCATCCAATCATGCTCATCCAAGAGGAAGAAACATGCAAATGTGAACTTCTACATGAATCGCCAGGCTTTCCAGCTGAGGAAAAAGAAGAAGTTGCTTTGGAGCACCTACTGTCGTACCCAGAGCCTGCTTGATCACGCCCGCTTCAAGCGCTGCAGCAATGAGCTGAGGAGGCTGACCAGGAGTCTTCGCAAGGATTATGAGAGGAAACTTGCTGCAGACCTAAAGCACAACCCAAAAGGATTCTGGAGGTACACCAACACCAGACTCCGGACCAGAAGCCATCTTGCAACCATGAAGGACAAAGACGGCTCTGTTGTCTCAGATAGCCAGAAGATTGCAAACATCTTGAACAGTTTCTTTGGCAGTGTCTTCACGGTTGAAGGACCTGGCACTACACCGACTCTAGACGGCAGCTTCAACGGTCCGTCACTGGAAGATGTCGATGTGTCTCCCCAGAAGGTTGAAGCAAAACTGGCTGCACTTAACCCACGAAGCTCCCCAGGGCCTGACAGTATCCGACCCAGTGTACTTCGTAACTCTGCGAGCGTCTTATCTTACCCCCTCAGTCTCCTCTTCAGGAAATCTCTGGACTCTGGATGTCTACCCGCAGAGTGGAAGACAGGGGAGATAACGCCCATCTTCAAAAAAGGAGATCGTCAGGAGCCAACAAGCTACAGACCCGTGAGTCTCACTGCAGTGCCGTGCAAAGTGCTTGAGTCACTGGTAAGGGACAGCCTACTTGCACACCTAACCTCAACTGGCCAGCTACATCAGGCTCAGCATGGGTTTCTCCCCAAAAGGTCTTGCACCTCACAGCTCCTGGGGGTGATTGAGGACTGGACTGCTGCCATGGAAGAGGGAGTTCCTGTTGATGTGGCGTACTTAGACTTTGCCAAGGCATTCGATTCGGTACCACACAAGCGACTCCTAGGCAAGTTGAGGTCTTATGGTGTGTCGGGTCGACTCCTGAACTGGATCCAGGCCTTCCTGTTTGAGCGCCTTCAAAGGGTGGTTGTTCGGGGATGCAAGTCAGCCTGGGCTCCAGTAACAAGCGGCATTCCGCAAGGCACCGTCCTCGGTCCTGCACTTTTCACAGTGTATGTGAACGACATGCCAGCACAGGTCACCAACACAGTGAAGATGTTCGCAGACGATACCAAGCTGTACTGCAAGATGACTGCAAACCACGATGGCCTGCAGGACGACATCGACGCTCTGGTCCGCTGGTCGGAGACATGGCTGCTCCCCTTCAATGGTGCGAAGTGCAAGACCATGCACCTAGGCTTCCACAACCCAGACCGCACGTACCACTTGAATGGAACTGCTGTCGCCACCTGCGAGGAGGAACGAGACCTAGGTATTATCATCGACAGGCAGCTAAGATTCCACAAGCAGACAGCCGCTGCCGCCGCCAAGGCTTCACAGATACTCGCAGTGATCCGTCGGTCGTTTGCGAACCTGGATGAGTTCACTTTACCTCTTCTTTTCAAGGCCTTAGTCCGACCCTTCCTCGAGTTTGGGAACGCCATCTGGGGTCCATTCTCCAAAGAAGACCAGAAGAGACTGGAGAGGGTGCAGCGACGCGCGACCCGCCTGATCACGGACCTCAGAGACCTGCCGTACCCTGACAGGCTTCGCCGCCTCGGCCTCCCATCGCTGCACTACCGCCGTCGTCGTGGAGATATGGTGACCGTGTACCAGCTCTTCCACGGACTTCTGGATCTGCCGCTTGAGTCACTGCTGACGAGACACGAAGCGCAAAACACGCGAGGCCACCAGTGGAAGCTGAGGAAGCCAAACGCCAAGCATCTTTCTCGCAGGAACGCGTTCAGCGTCAGAATCATCAACGATTGGAACGCCCTGCCAAGAGACGTTGTCGCTGCTGAATCGCTGTCGTCTTTCAAGGCGCGGCTGGACCGGCACTGTTCGAGCGTGATGTTCGACATCCCTACCCTGTACTAAGGACCATAGCCTCTCCGATTATGCCTTTCACTCGATACGAGCGGGACCCATAGGCCGAGTGGCCTTATAACCCGATGACCAACTAAGGTAAGGTAAGGTAAGGTGGATCGATTGCTCTGGCTCAGGCTGTCTGTTTTGCACTTATATTTTATATTGATATAGGTAAGCACCTACCTAGTTCAGAATGGAGGTTGGCGATGAGCCAGTCCATTATATTGAGTTATTATATTGAGTCAGTTAATTATATTGAGTCTGCAAAGTATGGCAAATTCAACGAGATCTCGTCGGTGCAGACGTGGCTTGGTGCGGTGCAGATTTATTGAAGTGAGTTGTGGAATTGACTGAGTGACAGATATGACAGACGAGATGAGATAGATGAGGGAAAAAAATGTTGGAGCTTCAACATCACCTAATGCAGTGTGCTCCCGGGTCTAAATGAGTGCGTGGTGGTGGTGGTCAGAACGGACTGCCAGTGCTGTTGGTCCCATCAATCACGTGGGATGTCAGTAAGTTCACACTCTTTGCACTCTTGCAACTCGAAACGCACCGGTTGGCTTTGCGAGGCGCCGGCGGTAGTGTGAGAGAAATGAGCACGGCCG